TATATTCCAAGTAAAATTTAAAATAAAGAAATCTATAGTAATATAAAGAGGTTGTTGGAAAAATACTTTTAGTAAGTTTGACTAAAAATAATAAATAGTTTGACTTACTATTAATGGAAATTTCGAAAAAAACACATGTACCAAAAATTGAGATTTTTATGGTAACAAATTTGGAGATTTTAATGGTAACAAATTTAATTGAGATATCCCAAAAAAATTGGAGATTTTTATGATAACAAATTTGGAGATTCCTATACCAAAATATAATTCATTTTAAATATTAATCCATATGAATCTACTTTTATTGGTAACAAATTTTAAAGATTGTTATGCCAAAAAATTGAGATTTTGAATTGAAATATTCCAACAATTACGGATTTTTTTCCTATTCAAATTAATGTTGTAAATCAAACAAAAAATTATTTCAAAAATAATGGATGTTATACCAACTATTGATAAACTCCAATCCCATAGGAGATTTCTATGGGATTCTTATGATAATAAATTGAGATTCTTATGTTGAGATTTTGAATTGAGATATCCTAACAATTTTGGATTTTTCCCCTTCAAATTCAAGATGTAAATCAAACAAAAAATTATTCCGAGAATAATGGATGCTATACTAAATATTGATAAACTCCAATCCATAGGAGATTTTTATGGGTTTCTTATGGTTACAAATTGAAGATTCTTATGGTAACAAATTTGGAGATTTTTATACCAAAATTTAATATATTTTAAATATTAATCCCATAGGAATCTATTTTTATTGGTAACAAATTTGAAAATTCTTATGCCAAAAAATTGAGATTTTGAATTGAGATATCTCAACAATTACGGATTTTTTTCCATTCAAATTAATGTTGTAAATCAAACAAATAATTATTCTAAGATAATGGATGCTATACTAAATTAATATCACTGGGCCCACACGTTAATATGATATTAATTAGATAGATAAATTACGTAAATCTTTCCTAACAAAATGCGTTCCAATATTGTTAACCAATTTAATGGGATTTTCTTAACTAATTTGATAGGATTTTGGTAACCACGGGATTTTGTTAGCTTTTCGTGGAAACACGAATCTTCATTATTGATAAGGTTTGATAAGATTTTGTTTCCAATTTTTTTTTGTTTTTTTTCCTCTCTCGAAAATTTGATAAGGTTTGATAAGATATTATTTCCTTTTTTTTCTCTCTCTCGAAAATTTGAGTCGTGGATTTGAAAAAAATAAATAAATAAAATAAACATATCATATTGATAAAGTTTTAGTGTGGGCATAAAAATCAATTTTGATTTGATTGAACTTTGTTTCATATAAACCTAAGAGAATCAGACGTTTGAAAAAATAAAATATTAATAGTAAATAATCATACCATATTTGTAAGGTTTGATTTGGAATATTGAGGCATAAAAATCAATTATGATTTGATCACATTTTGTTTTATAGAAGTTATCTTAGAAAATTTTACACGTTTCAAAAAATTAAAGATTATAATTTTGTAAATTAAAGTTTTGGATTTGTCCAAATAAATAGATCAAAATAAAAATATTATTTTTCAATCTATCCAAAAAGTCTTACCAAATTTCATTGTAACAAACTCCATTATTTTTTGCTACGTAATCTTTTAAATATTCGTTCGTCCCTCACAAGTGAATCACGTTCCATATTTTTTTTCTATTTTTTTAACAAATTCGATAACACATATTTCTAGAAGTCAATCATAATCATAATAAAAAAAATCGGATCGGATCATATTAAATACCTTACGTAAATATTTTTTTATTTCCTAGACATATGGCACATACACATGACTATATAAACATCACCAATGTTGAACAAAAAGTATTCGACATCCAATATATCCCACAAAATAATTTTTTCTACAAGCTTTTACATCACCATTGAAAATGACTTCGGATTTTGGAGTAATCAAGGATATCAAAAGATCCAAGAAGCCATCAATCAAGCTACGCATAATTAGGATGTTCCAACGAGTTGAAGACGTACACAATTACCGAAATGTTCTTGAGATTATCTTTTATGATTTTGAGGTAATATATTCATTTAGTATTATTTAAATGCATCATTTTATGCAACATCTTTTATAATTTATTTATTGAAGTATCATTATGCAATGTTTTAGGGAGGATGAATTACTAACATAATTCGACCTTTCAATATCCAAAAAATCATCTGTGATATTGAAGAAGGTGGCGCTTATATCTTGACAAACTATCAAGTGAATAGCAATACTGGCATCCATAAATCAATGATAGGTAAAAAGAGGATCATTATCAATGGTCAAACCAAGATTATCAAATGGAGGGGCGATTTATCAAATGGAGAGGTGATTTATCAAATGGAGGGGTGATTTCTCTATTTCTAACTTTAATGGATGTTCATAACATTGATGAAGTCATGTTGTTTGGTACGTTATAATTTTTTTGTTTATTTCTTATTTTAATTTTTTTAATTTAAAATCTGTAATAAACTATTTTATATGTTATACATTTCAATATGATGCATTTTCTTATATTTTTGTAGATGTTATTGGATTAATTGTTTCCCATTATGTTTTCTTACAACATGACTATAAACAAGAGTCAGGAACAATCATTATCGCATGTGGGCTTCTTTCTTAAGAAACCAGTGTTTAGTCATGGTCAATTGTATGTTGTTGTCTCCCGTGTCACAAACAAATGGGTTTGAAAGTCCTAATTTGCGGCGACGATGACGTGCCAAAGAATCAAACCATGAACGTTGTATGTAAGTAAGTGTTCAATAATATATAGATTTTATTATCATTGTATTTATTAATTTATTTATTATTAATGGCATGATCTTTCCTTTAGTAAGTACTTTGAATTTTAACTGAACATTGCTTTATAAAGGGACGGAGATAATAAACCCCCGTGCATCGCACGGGAATGTACTAGTCTTGAGAATATGCTTGAACACAGTAAGCTACTTCATAATTAACTTATATATTTAGCTTCTAAGGTTTTTGTATTAAAATAAGCTTATTTTGGTATAATTAACTAAAAAGAAAACAAAAAATCGAACTTATCTTATAAGTTTTTTATTTTTTTTTTATTTTTTATTTTCTTATGCAGTTTTTCAATAAAGCTGCTTGATTTTTTTTTTCCAACTAACTTATTAACTTATTTTATCAAACAATACTTTTTTTATATCAACTAATTTTTTACTCATCAACTATCAAATATATGCTCAAATTTAATTTAGAAACTATAAATTAACTTACCAGCTATAAGCTATTTATTCAACTAAACTTACCCTATTTAGTATTTACACCTATTTATATCTATATAAAAAGACTTGACATTTACTTGAAATAGTATGTGTAATGTTTCACTAAACACTTTTCAGTTACAAAGAAAGAAAATTTTGTAGAATTTTTTATTTTTCACCTTTTTTTAGCATTGTATATTTTCTTGAAAATAATATTTCTTTAAAAGTATAAGAAAAATATTTTTTTGTTATAATATATTATAAGGAATTATGCAAGATTACTAAAATTTAGTTATAAATAATTATTTAATAATATATTAAAATAATAATTATAATAATTTTTTAGGTTATATATATACATATATAATGAGAATATAATTTGTTAAAGAACTTTCTTCGTTGTAACACCATCCACTTATGATACATAATAACTTATAAATATATAACATACTACAAAAACATTAATTTATATGCAATTTCTACGTAATAACTCAGGCTGATGTCGAGTCATCGTGTTAATTGCATAACCAATTAATGAATTTTAAAATTTTAAAATATTATATTTTTTTTTATAAGTAAGAAATAATTAATTTATATTTAGAAATATAATTTACAATCTTAATATATTATTATATGTTATAAATATTTACTACATGAATTAATCATAATTTATTTTTATTTGGTTCATAAACTTAAATATAATTAAGAAATATAAGAAAACTTTTTTGAATTAATCGGGTGATTGAATTATGTTACTGCCCAGGTTGATGGAAGTACTTTTAGGTAATATTTAAAATAATCCAAAAACATGACATAACTGTGGTTGATCCCAAATGACAAAACTGGTTATTGAAACTAAACATAAATTTTTATATTAAAAATACTTTATTACTATATATGTAATGTAGCGACATACTCAATGATATATGAATATTTATATATCATTTATCAATATTTATGTGAACGACATGATATTGTATTACAAATTAGTAATGCACGGTAAGTCCAAGGTTTTCATAACCGGAATGTCATCGAACCATCAAGTTATTTATTCAATGATTTATTGGTTGGTCCAGAATTAATTTATTAATACTTTAATATATAAGGTACCTTTTATAATAAATTTATATAAAAAATATTAATTAAATATATGAACTATTTACATTTTCTAATGTTCAAAATAATCTATAAATAAAGTATAAATCTCGATTTTATTTAAATATGTATTTTCATTAATATTAGAAATAATTTTAAATGTAACAAAATCTATTTAAAAAATCGTACTGATCCTACAAGTCTGACCAGTAGGTGTTGATCGATTCACTAGCAGGCGTTATAATCATGCAAACATTTGACCGGTCAATAAATCGATTCCCAGTCCATCTTGTGGGAATTTCCGATCAGATTCTATTTGGAAAAACATTTGACCGGTCAATGACTCGAGGAAATAAACATCAATACTGTTTAATCCCACTTTTACAGGTATTATTTAATCAAAAAAGGTGGATTGATCCTCCCAAATAGTGGTCAAAAAAATCATTTACGTATAGTTTTAATATCATCAAATATCATGTGTGTTTGAAAAAAAATCCAATCGACTGTATAGCGTTAACATCATCAAATAGCATGTGTGTTTGAAAAAAGGGAACCAACTGTTATATATATATTCACATTCAGTACAAATTTTCCAAACCAGCAATCACATATATACACATACATACCAAACACACTATATTATAAGCTAATGTGGCCAGAACAAAATCAAACCCCGCCGGAGCTGGTGCACGTGCACCACCAGCCCCGAACTCTAGACGACACAATCGAGCAATACTTGGGTGGTTTCGGGTGGAGACAATTTCTCCAAACCATCTTAGTCTCGATTGCGTGGTTTTTCGACGCGCAACAAACTTTTATCGCCGTTTTTACCGATAAGGAGCCTAAATGGAGCTGCAATAACAATAATAGTAGCTTCCCATGCGAAAAAATTACTAATGTTGAATTGTTGTGCAAGCTTCCTAGAAACTCATCGTCATCGCTGTCCTGGGATTCTCCAGTGCACGTGTCCACCGTATCCGAGTGGTCCCTCCAATGCGCTAGCCCCTTCATAAGAGGCTTGCCCTCGTCTTCTTTTCTGTTGGGATGCCTTGTTGGCGGGCTCGTGCTCGCCACTTTGGCGGACTCGAACATGGGCCGCAAAAACACATTGATCCTCTCTTCCTTGATCATGTCCGTATCCGGGGGCCTCACTGCAATTTCCACAAACGTTTGGATGTACGCCGGATTTCGATTCTTGAGCGGGTTCGGACGGTCCACGATAGGGACAAGCGCGTTTGTCCTCGCGAGCGAGTTCGTGGGGAAGAAGTGGAGGGGCAAAATCGGGATAATGGGTTTTTCGTGTTTCACGTTAGGCTTCATGTCTCTCCCCCTTATAGCTTTTCTATTGAAGGGGTCCTCTTGGAGGTTGATTTATTTCTACACGACTTGTCCGTGCATTTTTTACTCTTTCCTAGTGTGTGTTTTCGCGTGCGAATCTCCGAGATGGCTTTTCGTCATGGGGAGAAGAGAAGAATTTACCAAAACTATTACACACCTGACGAAATGCAGCAGCAGCATTTCGCCAAGTGTGGAGTGGAGTACGGGAAAAGTAACGGAAGAATACAACAGTAGTAGTAGTAATACATTTTCTTCTGCGTTGAAGATGTTAGTTAGTAAAAATTGGGCCCTAAAGCGTTTACTAGTTTTGATGATTGTGGGGTTTGGTAACGGCATGGCCTACTACGGAAGCCCATTGGGCCTCGATGGCTTGCCATTCAACCTCTACATGAGTGTCACATTAAATGCATTGGTCGAGTTGTTGGCCGCGTGGATCATGGTTTTCGTGATAGGGAAGTTGAAGAGGAAAAATTGGTTGGTCGGGTTATCTTTATTTAGTGGGGCATGTGGATTTGTGGGGATTTTGGCGCGGTTGAACGGGATTCAGATAGGGTTGGAATTGGTGTATTTTTTTAGCATGTGCATGGCGTTTGATGTTTTCATGATCTACGTGTCGGAATTGTTCCCAACGCGTTAGGAACTCGGCAGTGTCGGTGGTGAGGGTGGCGGGATTGCTCGGTGGGTTTTTGGGCCCGATGCTTGTGGCGGTTGGAAGAAGGGTAAATGGGCTCTTGTGTTATGCCGTGTTTGGGTTGACCTTATCGTTGACCGTATTGTTTGTCGTGTTGTTGCCTGAAACTGAAGGGAGGACATTGTGTGATACAATGGAGGAACAAGAGGAGGATGAGTACGAACGATGAGGTCAATTTTTATTATTTGTGGAAATTATTAAAATGTACTGTACTGTATGATTTTTTGCAATTTTCTTTTCAAAGTAATGTGTGGCAATAATTAATGAGACTTGCTCGAGGTTAAAAAACTTACTGTATCATCATCGAAGTCAATGTTTATTACTTGTGTCACTTGTAAAAAGTACTGCATGATTTTCGCAACTTTGTTTTCAAAGTAATTAATGTGGCAATAATGAGACGTGCTCGAGGTTAAAACACTTACTTTATCATCATTCAACTTAATCTGTGGGTTGTAAGATATAATCAGCAAAATGATTGTTGAATTTTGAATTGATCCTGGTATTTGGTTTCATATACATACATACATACATATATAATCTGCATAGGTCATCCTCAAATTAGCTAACACTAACAGTAAGTTATGCAAACGCATTAAAACTTTTCTGGAAAGTGTCAATATATTTATCTATCTATCTATCTATCTATCTATCTATATCTATATCTATATCTATCTATATCTATATCTATATCTATATCTATCTATCTATCTATATCTATATCTATCTATCTATCTATCTATCTATATCTATCTATATCTATATCTATACTACTCTAAAAGGACGAGTGTTTTTGTAAAAATATGAACTACCTAAAAAACCCTTACTTTGCCATATTTTTAATGGCAAATTAGTAATACACTAATACACATCATATTTTATATTTTTAAATATTAAAATGAATTACCTAATAAACCCTTTCTTTGACATGTTTTTAATGGCAAATTAGTAATATACTAATGTCCATTATATCTTATATTTTTAATTATAACTAATATTTAATTAATTAAATACAAATACATGAACAAATCATTCCACACTCCTAAAATCAACTACAGTATGTTGGTTTGACACCATTATTTCTCACGAATTTGTTTTCTTCCACATATCTCTAAAACTATTTGATATGATATAGAATTGTGTTTTGAAAAACGTCATTATTTTTAATATAATTTTAATGGTAATATTGTAATCACATTTCATAACTCTAATATATAAAAGTTCCTTAAAGAAATTAAAATTGATCCAACAAAAAAAGCATAATAAGCACTTATAAAACTAGAAATCGATATTGTTTTTTTCTCATAACGACCACAAAGTATACAAACATTATTTTCAAAATAACCTATACAAAATGTGTAATAGTATGCGAGCATAATTGTTGAATGATTGTTCTGCAACCTAAATTTTTAATCAATTCAATTTCTTCGATACATAAGACCAGAATAACTTTATGAAATTGTATAATACTAAAACTTAATCTATTTGTTTTCACGTTAAATGAGATACCACTTTAGCAACATGGATTAATTTTAACCATATAATTATCTACAAATAAATTAAAAATATCTCGAGAATCATATATGATTTACATGTTGAAAATTAATTATTTTAATAAATAATTATATTCATATATTATCATTACTCATCTATCTAAAAATATGTGTTATTATAATAAAATGAGTTTTAAGAAAAAAATGTATGAAATAAAAAATTTATATATTTGAGTATAGATGAGAAGATTATAATTATATATAATATAATATAAAGATATAAAATTAATTGATATAAATGAGACATATGATTCAAAAAAGTGCTATACTTTAATTTTATACATTTTTTGACAAACCTAAAAGTTATACACAACACACACATATATATTAAAATACATATGAAAAAACAGTTTAAAGTTAAAAAAACAATATAATAAATAATATTTATAACTAAGTTGTAATACTTACTAATAACTATAAAAAAAAGTAATAAATAAAAATATTATAATTAGTAAAAGTATTTGTAGAACGTTTAAATTTGTATTTATCGATGTAAATGAGCCAAATTGTTCACCACATGTTAAATTTTTGCGCTTATTAGTTCAATGTATAAATTTTAGACGATAGACAATAGTTATTTATACTTTTATCCATGTAGATTAGAAATTTATTTTTATTTTTTAAATAAAGCTTTGATAATTTTGATTTTAAATAACGTTTTATTTGCTATTAGTTTTTTAATATAATATATAAATACCATATTATATATATACAATAATACTTTTTATTATTTGATATTTAATGTGCAAGAAATGTAACTCAGTTGATAAGTTAATAGGTAGTCTTGCGATAAAATAATGAACGATTTTTAAAAAATATATGGATTAAAAAGTTCATGTGTTTAATATATTTTTAATAGAAAAATTATAAATACATCTAATTAATAACAAAAACTGCAACATAAAAAATATAATTTATAAAGGAATAAAAAAATGGTACATTGCAATGAAAAATCCAACGGTAAGACATCCACTGAAAATCTCAAATAATATTTTATTCTTATAGCTGTCATTGTAAAACTTCATTGACTATTCCGAGATCAAATTACATTATATTGAAATTTTAGTGGATTTAATTAATCCAGTTATCATTATTTGTTATTGTGTGAATTTCTGTTTGAATTTTTTTTTGGGTCATTTTTCAACAGTTGGAAAAAATGTCACTGGAAATGTAAGAATTTCAATGGAAGTTCTATTCGAAATCTACCTGCAGTGGTGGATACAAAATAAATTCATACTTGAGGCATTATTTAGTTAATAGAAAAGGTATACCAGTAAAATAACATAATGTCATTATAATTTATAAATTATATTTTTCATAATTTGTCATCTTTCTCATCTATAATATATGTTACACATCAATACAGTTACAATTAAAAAAATTACTTTTCTCAATTCGACATAAGCATATAATTGAAAATAATTATGTTTTTTAAAATTTTATGAACAAAAGTTGACTCGACAATATTATTAATGAATTTATGAATTATAAATATTTAATTGTAGAATAAATTAAAAAAATTGTAATTAAATATAATATAATATAAGATATACAAATAATTGATATATAATGAGATAGATGGTCGAAACAATTCTAGACTTTATATCATGCATTTTTTTGACAAATCTACAGTTAAGAACATGTAAAAGAACCAGATAAAAGTTTAAAAAAAAATTAAATATGATAAATAATATTAAAAATAAATAAGTTGTGACACGTACTAATAAATATGAAACAAAGTAATCAATAAAAATGTTATAATTAATAGAAGAAATATAAACCTTTTATAAATATACTTATCGACGTAAACGAGCTGAGTTGTTAAACGCTTGTTAGTTTTTTCTCGTTATAATTTTATGTGTAAATTTGATGTGATAGAGAATAGTTATTTGTACATTTATCCATGTAAGTTACCAAAAAAAAATCTTTATTATTCTAATTTTAAATAACTTTTTATTTGCTATATTAGTTTTTTTTAATATAATATATAAATATGATGTTGAACATATAAAATAGGAAATATTCTAATTTTTAAATATTTAATATGTAAGAAATAATCTTGAGATAAAATAATGAGTAATTTCTGGAAAAAAAAATATAGGAACTAAAAAGTTCATGTGTTTAATATATTTTTAATAGAAAAATTGTAAACACAATTAATAAATAAATGCTACATAAAAAATTAATGTTTAAGAGGACTACAACAAATTGCTATATTGCAATGAAAAAATCAACGTAAGGTAATCTACAGAAAATTCCAACGAATATTTCATAAATATTGCTTTCATTGGAAAATTTCATTGGCTATTCCAACAAAGTTCAAATTAAATTACTTGAACTTTAGTGGATTTAAAGATTTCAATTACTTGAATTTTCATTGGATTTTTTTGGACTATATTTCAATCGTTGGAAAAACTGTCATTGGAATTGTGCAAAAATTCAAAGGAAATTCCATTGGAAAGCTAATTGCAGTGATAGATCTAAAATAATTTCATATTGGGGGAATTATTTAGTTAATAGAAAAAATATTCCATCAAAATAACATGTCATTGTAATTTATAAATTAATCTATCACCTTTATCATTTTGTAACACATTTTAATAAATCAATACAGTCACAATAAGATAAAATATATTTAAGAAACCAAAAGACATGATTTTTCCCATTCAACTTAAGAAGATCGTTATATTCTTGTTGTAATTTTCGTTGGAATTTTCTCATTTTCTTGTAGTAAAAGTAGGACTCCAAATCTATAAAAAAAATTGCATTATTATATAATATTGTGTGCAACTATTATTATGAAAATTTTGATATGTTAGAAAATATAACACATTCAATGTAATTCTCATTTAATTTATGATAATAAGTAATTTTTGTTTCAAAACAAACAAGATACTTTGAAAGGTCCTTAATTATTTTATTAGTATTATAATAACTAAATAAGGGGTAATAATGATGAGAAAACTTATAGCTCTCATTAAATCAAAGAGTAAAAATACTGATAAAATTACTTATTGTACAATATCAATTGGAGCTGGCTAATGAGAAATATAAAACATACTTAAGATACGCATATATTTTAACTAAAACTTTTAGGTATACATTTCTTTAAAATCGGGTATGTTAATCTTAAGTTTTTTTAGTTAAAAATTTATTTACTTTCTCTCATTAAATTTTTTAATTTTGAGATACTTCATATTTTTTATTTGTTACTCTTTGTATATGTAATATATCACATTATTTCTTTTCAAAGTTGACCAATATATTGCAAATAAAATAAAAATAATATAATTATTTGTACAACTGGATTAATAAAAATAATATATCACATTTATTTCTTTTATTTGTCGGTTATTATTTCATGTTTTGCATTTCGCAATTGTTTTTCCAGTTTTTCAATTTCTATTCCTGTTAGTTGGCACGATAGGTTCGATCTTAGCTCGAACCTTATTTCCTTCTTCCGCCTTTCCTTTTTTTCGACTTCTTATTTTTCTTGTTATGCCCTTTTCCCCGACTGCATCCAGCGCCCTCACTACCAAGATTCTTTCCACCTGCTAACAAATCCCAATTCGTTTTTCTCTCTTCAGTCGGAAAAAGACTGCTTCCAGAAGCTTCTTCTTCTTCTTCTTCTTCGCCGTCCATCCCTTGTGGAGCAACACTTCCAACGTTCGGCTCATCATCATTCTCCACGCTTGAATATGAAGAACTCTTTGGGATTCTCATCTCCAAGCTCTTCAAATGTTTTCCAACCGAAGATATTGTTTTATGATCCAGTCCAGTAGTACTGCAACCACATGATGCATTTTGAAGTTACTCAAGTTGTAAAATTTGAAATCTACTTAGAATATTTACTGGAAGTAAATATGCAACAGTAATCATATGACTTACCTCGTAGTATCCAACGAAGAACATATCGTGTTCAATTCCTCAAACACGTCTGTTGCTAAATGCAGCTCATTTTCACCTTCTTCACCAGAATCAGACATTGTGGATATCAAAAAATTCATATGCTCCTCAATTTTCACCTGATATAAAGCCAGAACATAAAAAAATAAATAAATAAATAAAATAAGATTAATAAACCATATCTAAGTATCTGATAGATTTAAAATTCAATTCTAAGAGTACCTTCTTTTTTAGAACAATGCTCTCCAATTTCCCGTCGCCACTCGTTTTCTCAACCGACTCCAAGGCCTCGGACATTTCTCGAACGAGGCCCCAATTTATTTCAACTTTCCCTTTAATTTCATTCTCTGAGCTCGACTTCGTATCACTCTCCGTAGTTCCACTCACCAGAGGAGAAATAATAACTGCTATTTCTTCATCAGGCTGCTCGTCCGAATAATCAGTGCTCTTAGGAAAAAGTACTTCCAAGACCTCGTTTTTGCACGAGAAAGAGCTCATGTCCAGAAAAACGGCATCTGGACAAGATAACCTTGAGCGGGCCCCACCAGAGGACACAATCACGAGAGGATCTCCAATTACTTTGAAAGCCGACGCAATTAAATCAACGTACCAGAAGTTTTTCCTCCTGCTGAAAAGAGCCTGACAGAAGTCCTCCGGCAGCTTTGATCTGACGTGTTGTACATCGAGCATCTCGTATAGTACGTTGAATGAATTATCTGAGTTCAGGCACAAAGAACATAGGATCACGACCAATCTCAGCACCAGCACCGGGAGATAGTACCTGTTAGAAAAAAATTATTATTAGCTGTTCTGTATTATAGTTTAAATGTAGGATGTTTTGATTTATTAATTGACTTCGTTTTTTACAGTACCTGGAGTTGATACCCGATTTTTTTATCCACCCTTCTGCCTCGCGACAGTTAAAGAGGCAATGCTGAACTGCCCAGAAGAGAAACTTGAAAATGTCACTTGGGTAAAATTTCTTGTCCGTGAAAAAAACGGCACACGGGTTGTCATCAGGCTGAAGGCACATTACGTGCTCAACGAACGAAGATTTCGAGGTGAAAAATATGCCTTTAGGGTGAGGGACTAAAATCAAAAGCCTCTCGACCAAATAAACGAAACAATTTGGAGATATGCAGTCTTTCGCGCTCCACCTGGCGTGGAAGGACTCTTCCAATACTCTGTGAAACTCTCGAACCATTATTATTTCCGAATGAATCGAGTACGAATTCATAGCCTTTTCGAAACTTTCCATGAACGGCTGCCAAGATATGTTCCCGCCAAATCTTTCGGTAATTCTCTTTCGGTAATTACAACTCGTCCAAATTGAGCGTATGTGGGCCCGTACCTTGTGCTGATATTCCTCGAAATAATCTCTCCGAGTAAATCCTTGGAGATTTCAGTTTCTCTTAACCGGATAAGAGTTTCGGACAAAGACTGCCGAGGGTCCAAAGGGAAAACAAATTCAAAGTAGTTGGCGGACAGCTGGAGAAACTCTTGCAGCCTTCGTTCATCACCTTTCTTCGCATCAAGATAATTCGTCTCGATAAAGAATCTCGTCACTTCATAAATGCAAATCAGTGATGAACATTGGCAGAAGCTCGACTCGGAAAATTTATATAGTTTCTGAAGGGCCTCTAATACCTTAAACCCAGTAGAAACCAATTCCCCACGCCAGTAATTTTGAGAAGCTGAAGCAAAATGACGGGCATCAAGAGCCGTTAAATTATTTTCCCTCACGATAAACCTTTTATCGACAGCATTTGCAACCCATGCAGCATCGGGTTTTAACAACACAAAGCTGCCGCTTAAATTTTGAGCTGACCGGACACCAAAATAGGTAAAGCAGAATTCTGCAGTGTCGTGACAGCTCTCGAAAAGAGAGTCCGAACAGTCTAGGATCCGTAAAACGTTCATTTTCCATACATTCCAAACGTAAACGAGAGTTCTGCACGAGGCTTGGTTCCTTAAAATCCTCTCGACTAGCTTTGTATCGTTTTGCGGTTTAAGATCCCACTCATACTTGGCCGGATGTACTTGAAGATGGCTGTCTAAAATTTTTCTCACAGTTAGAATCACAGCCGTAAAAGAAAAACTACGGCTTGCCGAGCGGTAAAACTGCATTAACTCAGACAAGTTCGTATTCTGTTCATGAGTCATAATAGCATTGGCCGATGCAGAAACTGATGCATGAAAAGTTGCAGAGACTTTCCATGCAATTGACACAGCTTTGGTTAAAAGTTTCTCCTTAGAAGGAAAAGACTTTAACGGCCATCCATGGCTGCCTGGAGACCAAAGAGAGTTCGACAGAACATACAAAAGTATGAGTGAGGTAGCATCTGAATAATCACCGGCCTTTTCTAGAAGATCAGCCTCTCGTAAAATATCTCCGAGGCGCTTGGCGATTTTCGCAGCCTCATGGAAGTTTCGGGAGTCTTCTTCCAAAGTTAGAAGCTCGTCAAGGCAATCGATTGACTTCAAGAACGTGCGTTTGGACTCCATTGTGTTGAAGGCCCGGACGAACTTCATTAATGAAGTGTTATCCTTTTTCTTATGACATTCCACGGCGATTTCTTCTAGAAACTCCTGAGAGACCTTGTCAATCTCCTTGGATTTTGTCTGAAGCTTGCTGTTCAGGGATACCTGTTGTTTCCACTGCTCAATATACTGCAAGCCGAGGTCGAAATAGTTGCCTTTGGTGCAAGCTGTCAAGCACTCGTCGAAAAAGTTCCCTTTTGCGTAAACTTCTGCTGCAGTTCTGTAACTTCCGGCAAGAGAGAAACATTCGCCAGCCTTTCTGAGCTCAGATATACCGCACTTTTTCAAATATATGTTCCCTAAAATAGAGGGAAATCAAAATCAATCAAAATTCGTGCATTCGGTTCACCAAAATGGAAATCTGTGTACAAATATGAACACTTCAAATCGAACTTAGAAATTCCAGTCGAGGGTGTAATGTATGCAAATTGCAATTCAAATCGAACTCAGAAGATTACTAACTGAGGGCATATTTGACTTGATTCAGTTTTTATTAAAGGGACCTAGCTGGGGAGAGTTGTCATCATGCATTAAACATTTATAACACATCAGATAAAACATTAACTTTTAATTTATCTTTCTATATCTATATCTATCTATCTATCTATCTATCTATACTATTATAAAAGGACGAATGATTTTGTAAAAATAATAATATGCCTAAAAACCTTATTCTGACATATTTTTAATGGCAAATTAGTAATACAGTAATACCCATCTTATTTTATATTTTTAATTAACAAATGAACTACCTAAAAAACTCTTACTTTAAATAGCAAATTAATACTACACCAATAATCATCTTATATTTTTAATTAATAACTAATATTTAACTAATTAAATATAGATACATGAACAAAATATTTCAGCTCCCCTAAAAATCAACCTCAATATTCTCATACCATTATTCATCACCAATTTGCTTCTTTCACATATCTGTCGAACTATTTTCTTTCATATCTCCCAAAAATCAACCCAACAAAGCTATGAAATGATTAGTTGATGTTTTGGAAAACGTCTTTATTTTAATATAATTTTAATGTAAAATCGTAATCATATATTTTTAATTAACAAATGAACTACCTAATTTTAATGGCAAATTAGTGTCCCAAAAATCAGCCTCAATATTCTCATACCATTATTCCTCACGAATTTGCTTCTTTCACATATTTGTCAAACTGTTTTTTTCATATCTCCAAAAAATCAACTCAGACAACAAAACTTTGAAAAGATATATAATTGATGTTTTGAAAAACATTCTTATTTCTAATATTATTTTAATGTAAAATCGTAATTACTTTATTTAATAACAAAAACTATCCCACGAATTTGCTTCTTTCACATATTTGCCAAACTTTTTTTTTTCATATCTCCAAAAAATCAACACAGACAACAAAACTTTGAAAAGATATATAATTGATGTTTTGAAAAACATTCTTGTTTTTAATATTATTTTAATGTAAAATCGTAATTACTTTAATTAATAACTAAAACTACTACATGAAAGTTTTAATGTTTAAGGAAGAATAAACAAAAAATTGTTATATTGCAATAATAAATACAACGGTCAGCATTCCACTGAAAATCACAACGAATAATATTCATTGGTATAGCAAATAAATATACATATTCTAACAAACTAGAAAAGTAGATCAATAATAACTAATACTTACTTAAATGAATATAGATACACGAACAAAACATTCTAGATCTCCAAAAAATCAGCCTCAATATTCTCATACCATTATTCCTCACGAATTTGCTTCTTTCACATATCTGTCAAACTCTTTTCTATCAAATCTCCAAAAATCAACCCAGACAACAAAACTTTGAACGATATATAATTGATGTTTTAAAAAACATCTTTATTTCTAATATAATTTTAATGTAAAATCGTAATTACTTTAATTAATAACAAAAACTACTACATGAAAGTTTTAATGTTTAAGAAGGAATACACAAAAAATTGCTATATTGCAATAATAAATACAACGGTCAGACATTCCACTAAAAATCGCAATGAATAATAGTCATTGGTATAGCAAATATATATACATATTCTAACAAACTAGAAAAGTGGATCAATTCATTTAGCCACTTCATTATTTAAGAAAAATAAAATCTTATATTTAGAAATTGCACCTTATATTTATTAAATTGAATTTTTATCTCACAAAAAACGTTATTTATGTGTTTGTTTGATTATTTTTTCCAATTTCGGTCACAAGGCCAATAAAGTTCACGATATAAAATTATAAAAAATATAAAATTATGAAAGAACAATATAAAGTACAAAAATATAAAATTTACTAAATATTATAAAAAATATAATTAACTTGTCATACTTACTAATAAATATGAAAAAAAGTAATAAATAAAAATGATATAATTAATAAGAAAATATAAAACTTTTAAAATTGTACTTATCAATGCAAACGAACTGAATTATTCAATGCTTGTTAATTTTTTGTGCTTATTAGTTCTATGTGTAAGTTTTAGGTAATAGACAATAGTTATTTGTGCTTTTATCCATGTAGGTTAGAACTTTTATTTTTTTAGAAAAAAAAAATTATTTTAATTTTAAATAACCTTTTATTTTCTTTTTTAATATAATATTAAATATCATATTACATATATAAAATAATAATTATTTATATTATTTAATATTCAATATGTAAGAAATTTAACTCAATTGAGAAATTAATAGGTAATTTTGAGGTAAAATAATGAGTGATTTTAAAAAGATATATGGACTAAAAAGTTCATGTGTTAAATATATTTTTAATAGAAAAATTGTAGGTATTCCACTGCAAATTGCAACAAATATTTCATTGGTGTAGTGTTCATTGAAAAAATTCGTTGTCTATTAGAGATGAAATTAAATTACATTGAAATTTTTGTTGATTTAATGATTACCATTATCATTGTTTATTATCGTGTGAATTTTAGTTAGAATTTGTTTCAGACCATATTTCAACGGTCGAAAAAACTGCCAATTGAATTTTAAAAAATTCAATATAAGTTTATGAAAGCTAATTGCAGTGGAGGATACAAAATAATTTCTTATTGGGGGCACTATTTAGTTAATAGAAAAAGTAAACCATCAAAATAATATAATGCACTACAATTTATAAATTATTCATTTCATAGTTTGTCATTTTTCTCATCTGTAATACACTTTTAACACATATAAGTTAGAAAATATTAAAAAAAAACATGATTTTCCTTAATTCAATACAAGAAAATCATTGAAAACAAAATACTTTTTAGAATTTTTTATGAACAAACCTTGGAATCGGTATTGTTTGTTCTCATAATGGCCACGATGTATAGATATATTATTTTTTAAATTAATCTATAAAAATATTAATTTTTACCAAGAAATTATATCGATATATTACCAGTATCCATCTATCCAATCTATATTATTATAATAAAGCATTTTTTTCCTTACAAAAATGTACGAAATTAATATATAATAAGACATATATAAAATTTCATAAATAATATTAAAAGTGTTGATAATTGATTAAAATAAATATAAAACTTTTAAAACATGTATTTATCAATATAAACGAGTTAAGTTGTAAACATTTGTTAATTTTTTGTGATTATCAATTCTATGTGTAATGGTAAGTGACAGACAATAGTTATTTGTACTTTTATCCATTTAGGTTAGAACTTTTCAAATTTTTTTTTTTAAAAAAAAAAAACTTGATTTAATAAACAGTATAAAAGTACAATTTTATCAAAAATATATTATTATAAATAAATAAATAAATAATATTAAATAATATTTTATCTTATTTGATTATAGATGTAGCAAACTAAATAAGATACTTTGATAACAACATAATTATATTAAATGTGTAAACAAATTAAAAAATACATATAAATATGCCCTAATTCTTGTAACAAATAAAATATTATTTGTAAATATAATAAGAAACAAATAAAACAATATTAAGGCAATGAGGAAAAATAAGTCTGATTTTTTTATTTTAGAGAAATATGAATATCAACATCTAGAAACAAAAGTCTTTTATAATTACTACATTTTTTATTACTGGCGTTTAAATTCTCATAAATATTGACCCTATATTACCAATTTTGATTTTTTAAATAATTAAAAAAATAAATAACTTTGTAATACATAATACATATTTTAATAATGATTTTGTGATAATAAATTTCACAGATGGCGAAGAGTATTATAATATAATAGGATTTTGATTTTTCTCCTCTCTAATATTTTAATAAATGATATGTTTCCCAATATTATCTCATTATTTTTTTTTCATTGTTAAAGAATCAAGAAAAGATATTTATCATAAATTTGTGAAACATTATGATTGATGCAAAAATTTGGACAATAAAAGCGTCTGAAATCATTGGATGAATCAAGCTGCTCAATGATTTGCAAACAACATATTATATAGTTCGTCTATCTTCAAAATAAATAACATTAAAAAGGAAATGTCGGAGCATGATCAAAATATTTTTGTATTTTTGAATGAAGTTATTATATTTTGATAGAAATATCTACAATTTCATTAGTGTATTGTGCTCGAACATATATGCAAGTACTCTAGAGTATATACTTTCATGTAACGTATGATGATTTCAAAAAATAATTTAGTCTTCATGTAATGTGTGATGATTTTAAAAAATAATTTAGCGTCTCGAGAGAAGTATATGTAACCAAGATTTTGAAAGGTCAACTTTTATTTAGAAATAAAACTCATTCTCGCCCCCACGGGCGATGCCTCCATGGAGGAGGTGTCAATTTATAATGTAGTAGTTTACAAAAAAATATATATCAACAATTTTAATGACATAATTGATTATTTCACAGAGATAATTCATTAACTGTTATTAGCAATACTAAAGATCATAATCATAGAGTTTGACTATATGTTTGGACAAAATATTTTGCATTGTTTGAATAAAGTAGACTTTTTGCCTAATGACTTAAGAAGAAATTGCCTATTGATGTATAGAACTCGAATGGGTATGAATTTTTTTTTTTTATGAGAACGTCAGAATTAAAATGAAAGAAAATCACTCTTGAATTATCAAATATAAATAAATAAAAGAACTAATGCATTTATAATATACATTATGTCTTTATTTAGTTATTTAGTGTCTTTTAAAAAAAAAAGTCATTTTTCATTTTTTTGTTGGGGTTGTAATATGTTATTTTATTCTTTTTATATTAGTACATCGTAATGTTATTTTTGGAAAAAAAAAATACATTAGGAGCTCATTTGTTCTACATTTTATTTATTCTGCAATGATATGTTTAATAAATTAATTAATTAATTTTACTAAACTTAATCGGCAAAAAACATTCGTCACCACGTGCGATGCACGTGCACTTTACTAGTATAAAAATGTTCCGAGTTTCATAAGCGAACCAAACTCAAGCAAAGCTTTTTTTTGCAAAATCTATTATTTAGTTTTCGGAATTATCATAGCTGATGTCTAGCAAACATTTCTGAGCTTCGCTCGTATATAAATCAAGAGACTAACAGACAGTTTCTTGTGAGGAAATTAATTACACACCTGCTCTTTCGTATTCCCCCAATTCGCAAAAACATTCAGCTGCTGAGTCAGCTCTCCCAATGGAATCAAATATTTCGGCCGCCTCTCTAAGCATCACGTGAGCTTCTTCCGGATTCAAACCGCGAAGAGTATCAGCAGAAGCTCTTAGCCCGGAAGCTTTAGCTCTCTTCTCCCACGTCTCATCGCCTGCTTTCTCAAAGCACAAAGTCGCCATCTCGTAATTTTTCTCCCAAAAAAGCTGCATAACACAACCACATTCAAAAAAAAAAGTAAAAGAAAATAAATTGCGAAAGCAATAAAGAAACATTACAAGACCTTGATCCCTTGTGATTTCCACTCTTCGGGGCTGCTTGCCCTCTGCATTGCCTCTGCTAATGAATCGTCAATTTTTCTCACTTGGACAAGGCAAAGTCTTCTCCAATAGTCGAGCATAGGCTTCGAAAGCTCTTCGTTGTTCTCACAGATCCATAATCTTTGCCTCGTACGAGTTATCGCCACGTATAGTTGTTTAAGTTCAGAGCACAATAGATTGTGTTTAGAGTGACTGAAACTCGGGAAGGAGTTTGGAGAGTTTGCATCAAGGAGGTCTTTTTCTTTCAAGAATTCATACAAGACTCGCCATTGATTGCTCAAAGGTGAAGAGCCGAAGAAGTTGTATAACAGGACATCCTACATTATGCAAAAGCCAGCACAAAATGAACTTAAGACGAAATAACAAAAAAATTATTAACTATCATCATTCAAATGCACAAAATCTCTAAGGATAACTACTTGGAGTTAAAACCGTTCTACAAATATAGTATAAAAGTCGAAAGATAAAAAGAATATAACACAAATAATAATACACAATCAACACGCGATATTGCAAACCTTGGACAGAGAATTTAAAGTGGTTAGCGAGAACTAAAGAAAGAAACAACTATTAGAAAAAGGTAAGAGAAGTTTATAACCTGAAACTCTAGGCCTTTGCACTCAACTATAGTCAAAACCAGAGCTTGATGACCAATATAGTTCAAGATTTCATTTCTAGCAGAATCATCTCTCACTAGAATAACCTGGTCAGCACCAAAACCCACCCATTTTCGACCAGCATTTGCGCTATGCCCGAAAATAGTCATAATTAAGTTCTCATCACTTCCAGGCTCGAGTACAACAGGAGACTCACCATATATAAGGCTCGTCTCTGGAGGTAAGACATCAATCGACAGCGGGAAAAAATGGCAAATAATATCTATGACACTGTGAGCTAACCTAAGTACTCCTGTATGAGTACGAAAATTCTGTGACAAACAAAATATATCCGAGATATGCCCCTTTTCTCTTCTTCCTCGAAAATCGCCATTTCTAGATTTCATGAAAAACTCGGTATAGAACAAAGATCGAATATCTTCGAAGCGAAAATCAATCCCCCTGGCAATAGTTTGTGCAGTGTCGCCAGAAAAAACAAAGCCTTCATCGACATTTTTGCAGATATATCGGAATAGTGAAATTTGGCGCATGGTAAGGTCTTGAACTTCGTCAATGTACACAAAGTCCATTTTGTCACCCATAAGATTCTCATTCTTGAGTCGGAAGTGAATGTCTATCACAAAATCGGCAAGATCAAACTCACCTCTTTCCACCTTCATCTTCTCATAATGCTCAAAAATATCATACACAAACTCCCTCTTTTCAGAAGTTAAAGTCGAGATCCGACTTTCGGATAACAATAAGTACTCTTTCCGGCTTATTCTTCCATTGCATGCTTCGCCTTCTTGCAGTCCGCCTTTAATGTAAGACATAATTTCTATGAAAACTCTTGATGGATCAAGATTCTTCGTGAGCTTTTCATTGAGATGGGGCCAGTATAGGGCCCGAAAACGGTCATAAGTAACCTCATTTTTTCGAATGAAAGTCTGCAGAGCAATCGATCTTCCACCACCGTCATATTTAGAGGAACCTCTCACTTCACGGAACCTCTCGAAATATGAGTTACCCAAAGTACCATCAAGCATCATTAGAAACTTATGAAATGTGATGATTAGAGGGTACTTTTCTGGTTGAATACCAACAAATGTGTCCGGAATATCTTTAAACTCAGCCACTTCATCAATTTCATCCATATCAGTGATGCTCCCGACATGGTTTCCACTAGCAAAGCTGTATAGAATACATAATACAAAGGTTTCAGTTAGACTAGACATAAGACAAACCATCTGTTAATAATAAAATATTAAAAGCACATGAAAAAATTAAAAATTTGATGTGAAGTACATATAAATATATATATATATATATATATATATATATATCTGCTTTAAAATGACAAATTAGCACGCAAGTGCAACAAGAAAGAAAAAATATTGCCGACATTGAAATCTTTCAAGTCAATAATCTCAATCATCATGCCATAATACAAGCAAAAGAGGAATATATCAAATTACGAACCTTTATCCGATTTATGTCTCCACAGGAACTACATGAAGTTGGCAGTGAAAATGGCATAGGCAAAACATTCATGCAAATGGGCTATGAATATGAAAATTAAACATACCTCTTCAGCTGAGTAATATGCTTTTTGACAGCAAAACAGAGTTTCGGGCTAACGGTCACGAAAAGCTGGTGCAGTGTGGGAGATTCCACAGATTCTGAATGATCAGCTTCTTCATTGCCAACAGATTCATGTGAAGTGATGAAATATTGCTGAAGCTTTTGGTACAACTTCATAGTCAAAACAGTGGTCTTCCCAGTGCCAGATCTTCCAAGTATGAAACTGCTTCTGGAAAACATTATTATCTCACGCTCTTCGTCAGTAACCTCAAATGGGAGATCCACTTCTCGGCCCTCAGCATCAGTAAGCAAATGATTCACGATTCCCGATGATAGTGAGTAGAATTTCATCAACAGTAAGCTCTCATTCACTTTTGAATTCTCCACAAAAGTTCTACCATCATTTGCACTGCCACTTGCACTCGTGTTGAAGTTGGCGTTATTGGAATTCTTGTAACGAACTATATCCTTAGAAACTGACCAATTTCTTGGAACTTCAAGATTTCTGAACAAAATGGAATATTACTTAAAAGTAGATATAACTAAAAATCGTAAACCCAAATATCAAAAAAAAAAAAAAAAGAAAAAGAAAAGACATACCCTTCGAACAATTTCTCATTGCAGTGTCTGATAAAGTCATCAGAGTACATTGCGAATATGCTGTCAAGACGATTCAACAACTTTGGGGTCTCGGCAATAGGCAAAATGTCCCACACTTTGAAAACTTGGAAATAGATGGAGTCCTTAGATATATCGATGGAGCAAACAACAAAGTATTTTTCAACCTTGAATTGCTTCACGATATACGAAGAGTTCTCGCACTTCCAATCCACATTTACTTTCTTCGGCCTCCAACCACTTGAAAGCTTAAGCAAAATATTTATGGCTAGCTTCTTAACATTGGAAGGTCTCAATCTCTGGAATGACTTTCGAAAGTTATCACTGAATAAAACCTGAAGACATCATGCAAGATACACCATAAAGAATTTCAAGCTCCGATACAAATAGAAATTAAATAACGGAGATAACTGAGAAAAGTAACCAAACGAGAGAACTGAAGCTATGATCCAGATTAAGAGCTTAAATGGCTAGAGAGGTACTGATCCGAAAATTCTTCCGATTAAAGTGAGATGTTACCCCATACATAAAATTATTTTGGTTCGTCTGAATAAGATAATAGGTATTAATGTTGTTAAGGTTAGCAGGATAGAGATATAAATATTTTAAAACAAAACGAATGAATACCTTCCATCTTGAATTTCGGAAAAGTATACTCTCTCCGCTAAGAAGATCGTCAAGTTGCTGTAACTCTTTCTTAACATTTATAATAGTTTTTCCAATATCATCATCTTCATCAGCATTGAAAAAACATTGCCGGTGCTTAGCATCACATAGCAGTGCTTCCCAAACTGAGTCACTTCTACTTAAAGTTCTTTCATTGCCTAATATCCACAGACTATGTCTGTAGCAGTAAAAATAAAGAGCAAAATAAAAAAATAAAAAAAAAAAAGCTCAAATAGAGGAAATGAAAATAAAAAATTTCAGTGGAAAAAAAAGACATAAGTATGAGAATATTCATTTGATTGCATACCGAGCTCTTGTTAAAGCAACATTGGTTCTTTGAGAACTAGACAAGAAACCGATAGACCCACCACTATGGGACCTCACAGTTGATATAATTATAATGTCTTCTTCTCCACCTTGAAAGCCGTCAACAGATTTCACCTTTACTGTAAACTTCTTAAGGTTTTCGTACTTTTGATGAAGCCTATCACGAATTGCAGCAACTTGCGCAGCGTAGGGTGAAATCAAACCGATGCTAAGACTCTCGTTTGAGCCATCCCATGCTGTTTGTGGCATACAAAAATGGGCAAATTTTGTAAGAACACTGTTGTCTGACAACAGTAAGGATAAATAATACTACTTAAATATATGATTTTCAATGCACGGCCTTAAAATAATTAACCATAAGAGTTGTAAAATGAATGAAACAAGAGAAATTCAAACTGATATAGCGATATATGCGAATAAATTCTTACAATTTTTTCTTTGTTTTTTTCATATCCTTGGACAAAACAAGATCTCTCTTTAACATTATCATGACGGAGTTCGAATCATCTCCATAACTAGGTGATCATCTTTTTAGTTAATGAATCGAAATTAATACATTCTACCAGCAAAGAATTCTTAAATTAAATCAAAATGTTGGGATTCAAATAAAATAACAAAACTCTCACCCTATATGAATCCATCTATCCTAACACAGTAACCAAATTTCTTTAGAAAGATGATATTGATTTAACTTTCCATCATCAAAGGATTGAAAGTAGAAAAGAATCCACCTAATGACGATGGTTGTGCTTGGAAAACGGAAAAAAAGAAAAAGAAATTATATTGAAGAAGTAATGCATTGTTAGTATACCTTTATAGAGCTTTTGCACTAGTTTCACAATTACAGCTACCTCAACCATATTTCTTCTGCTGTGCCCAACATCATCTAATTCTTCTTTTCCCCCACGAACATTTATGAAAGAATATGGACCGAACATTCTCCCTTGCAGAAAGCTTCTTTCATAGCTTCGACTCTGCACATAAGGTGCATCTAGTATCTGGTTCTGATAAAAATTCGAGTTTGGAAAACGGCTTATAGATGGATGCATCCTGTATTGCACATTAAGCAGATGCTTAGAGTGTCCCAATGAGCTCAGCCTCTCAAACAAACTTCTTCCAAACCCAGCATCTTCACACAGCTGCATATTAATAATAAAATCCAATTACCATCATTTGTGAGTCACTAACATGCAAACACAAAATTTGGTATACAAAAAATATTAATTTTTACCTTACTCTTAACTGTAGCAGGTAATTGCCACTCGTCACCGACTAAAATAGCATGTCTAACATCCGAGACCTGGAGTGCTATAATCGATTCACTTTCTTTTACTTGAGCAGCTTCATCAATGACCAATAAGTTAAATGGCTCAGTATCCAACGAGTGTAGCTTATACGAAGATGAGGTTGTGCAGAAAATTAAGGATGCCCTCTGAAAACAGAACTCTTCAGCCGAATATTTACCATTGAGAATACGAAGAAGGCCAAGTTCACCAAGAGACACCTGAAGAGATTTTAGGATAGACACACACTCGTAGAAGCCTTTTTTTAGAAAGATGCTCTCCAATTCATCACACGTCATACTCGTGTCTGCAAACAACAAATTCTCAATGGAGTCGAGATGGAAAATTACTTGCTCCATTTTTTCAAAGGTCTGCTCATGATGGGATTTTCTAGGCAAATGTGTTAAGAATATCATCATGCATTTTCTCAGTGGTTTTGAAATATGTGGAAATCGATCTCGAGCAAATTCCAGAAGAGACATTGATAGAGGCTTCTGAACTTCTTCTTTTTCAGTACTTTCTCTTGCCTTGATTAGCTCGTTCTCCAAGAAGATTTGATGCTGAGAAACACAATCCTCGAGAAAATCGAGCATTGACGACACGCATTTTTTCCAACCTGTGTACGATACTAAGCACTCGAGAATTCTTTCAACACGGTACTCTAAGAAGATTTCCTCAATGTCGGAGCCGACTTTCAGGCGGTCCTTGTTTCCGAATATAAGGATTTCTCCCAACGAACAAAACCGAAATTTCTTCTCGGATTTGGATTCAACTGAATTTCTCATGAGTGCTATAACCCGAGAGGCCAATTCTGTGATGGCTATATTCGTCGGGGCACAAACTAGAGTCCTCACGTTCATTTTCAGGAGAGCATACAGCAAAACACTTAGAGTAGTAGTTTTGCCAGTGCCCGGTGGGCCCCACATGAGCTCCACCGATGAAGTGTGGTTGCAGTGAACTTTGGATAGAGATGCGGAAATTGCCTCGAGTTGTGATTCGTTCAACTTGGATGTGAGTGTTTGCTCGAGCTTTTCCTCTATATTGATGTTGTGGTTGGACAGGCAAAGTTCACAAGTTTTCTTCTCAACCTGTTGGAAATGAGCACACTAGTTAATAAACTTCATATCCAAAGAAAAAAAAGGAGAAATGCAGATTGTATGGCAGTTTTTTTTTTTCTTTCTTTTCATTGTCTTGTTTAGCGACGAGAACAGGTTAAATTATCAAACAACCGATTAAGTTCTATAAGGTGCTGGTTATAAAGAAATTAAACAGATAGGATTCCACTTCCATAATAAATTTCTGCAACTAAGTACAAACTAAAAATGTGAAAGAAGCCATCAATGTGAAGAGATATGAGATTCATACAAGAAATGATCAAAGAATTTTCACCATTCATACAATAAGTCGACGATGGAAATATGTGAAAAAACACAGTAACTTTATATGAAAGACTGCATCATGCCTTTTTGAATTTTTTTTTTTTTTTAAAAAAACTATTAGCATAAGAAAATGAAAAAGCAAATAATTACCCAAAAAATATTAGCTTACCATGTCGTCTCTTGATATTACTTTCTCGATTATCATGAGATTCCGGCGCATTCCGAGTGCATTCCAAATTCTCTTCTGCGTAGAGACATTCATCAAGAAAACCACATAGAGCCCATCTGTATCAACGTACTCGGCCATCCTAACCTTAAAATTGCATGATGAATTACCATCATTGCCCTCGTCCTCCGGGATTTTTGTTACACATGCAAACGTGTAAGTCCAGCCGGCACGTTCCAAATCCGAAGCTGTTTCGGGTTTCATGTTTGAGACGAGAATAATATCGCCGGGCAATGTTCTATAAGCCTCCTTACCACGGTTACTTTGCCTATTCGTCCAGTGATCAACTCTAACATCATAGATAAAAGCATCACTTTTGTCCTCCACGAAATACGTTATCTCGGCAAAAGGTGCTTTGTACACAGTTTCCATGGCCGAAGAAAGCTCTGCACGTGTTTCTTCTAGTAAAGGGTAGACAAATGAACCGAGGTACTTGTCGACGCTATCGAATTCCTCCGGAATCTTCTCCACCTGATTGGGACAGAANAGAGAGAGAGAAAGAGAGACCACTACCACTACAAGAACCATCTAAACAGCAGCTAAGCAGACTAAGAAAGCAAGTTGAAGCACTAAGCAATATGTTTCTACATAAAATTACCTTAAAAATAACAAATATTATTGGATATCAACTATTCATTATAAAGGTATACACTAATAAACTGAAAACTCACACAAGCACTGAAATTGAAGGGAAAAAAAAAAAAATACCTGATTTTTGTACAAGTTCTCATCAAAGATTTCTTGAGTTGACCATGAAAACACCAAATCAATGAATTGATCTTTCGGCCACGATTTCCTCTTGCCGCCACCCGAATGGCCTTCGAATTCCTCCATCTTCAACTTTGAGATATCAACTCTGGTAACTAAAACAGAGAGAGCAAATTGCAAACCCAGATGAATAATATAGGCATAAAACTGTTGCATGCATGAAAATTGAAAATACACACATTAAAGAAAACGAAAAAGATGAGGCCTTTCCCCTGTCTTTGTAACAGGGCACAACAAATATATCAAGAAAAGTGGAGTTTTTTTCTTTGAGATTAAGGAAACATGTGTGGGAAATGCCTTTACCAACCTAGTAAGAATCTTCCGTACGTTCTTCACTGTGAACAAAACCCCACTCAAAAGGGTAAAGGATTACAAGCTATAAGAAAAATGAAAGATCATAAAATGAAAAATACAAATAGTAAGAACCTAAAAGGTGGGAAACTGAGGAGTCGTTTAGGGAGAAAAAAGGCGTCAAAATTATTTCTGAAAACGACGGTTGGGGTCCTTTCCATTTCCCAGTGTTCTTTGATTTGACTTGCTAGTTTTCTTTCTTTTTATCTTTTCCAAAGCCCTGCAGTTATACACTATTATTACTCATTATAGACTCATTTGTGTATATAGATTATAGGGTGATATTTCGTGATATAATTATTATGGGATTTCGTGAAAGGAGTTTGATAGTAATAATATTATATGTTCGACATCATATGTAATAGTACATGCAAACATTAGACAATGTAGAGAAAAATATTTTTCAAATCCAAAATGCACTAAATTATGTGAGATATATTCTTTTTACTTTTCATTTTTACTTTTTGCATTAAAATATTTAATTTTTTTCTTATTTTTTCATTTTTCAATTTTTTTAGGTAAATGCTTATATTACTTCCCAACCATTTTCTCCCATTGTTTTCTTTATTGGATATTCAAGTTTAAAAAGGAAATAAAAACTAAAAACTTAAAAACTTTTTAGTTTTACTCATTTATGTATAATATACAAATTTATTCCACTTATCCACGATATTTGTTTTGGTACCTAAATTCCATAATATCATTTATTTAAAAAAATATGATATAAAACTATAACATAGGTTAATTCATCAATATTAATATAAAAAGAAAATGAATGGGCTCAGTTTCCCATGAACTAGGTCGTTCTGGCCTTCAATGAGTGAGACTGCCTTTTAGTTCTTATGTCGACCTGTTGGCTTCCATATTGACATTCCATCAAGTTATTCGAGAGCCCTAAATCGACCTGTTGTTGTTGTTGAACTGTTTATTAATCATTACAAATCTAGTGGTTGTGCGACCTTTAGGCTTCTTACTGTTTGGCCGACCTTCCGGTCCACTCGAACCAGTCAAACTATTGTTATGTCTCACACGACCTAATATATACCAGTATAGAATCCGATATCAGTATGTATATATATATATATATATATATATGAAAACAATTGTAGCAAGCTCAATTCAAAATTCAACAATCATTTTACTGATTATACCTTACAACACATAGATTAAGTTGAATGATGATACAATAATTGTTCTAACCTCGAGCACGTCTCATTAATTATTGCCACATTACTTTGAAAACAATTTTGCGAAAAACATACAATACAGTACTTTTTAATAAGTGACACAAACAATACGATCAACGATAAGGTTAACCCAAACACGGTATAACACAAGAGTCCATTTACCCTTCTTCCGACCACCACAAGCATCGGGCCCAAAAACCCACCGAGCAAGCCCGCCACCCTCACCATCGACACTGAGTTCCTAACACGTTGGGAACAATTCCGATGCGTAGATCATGAAAACGTCAAACGCCATGCACATGCTAAGAAAATACACCAATTCCAACCCTATTCGAATCCCGTTCAACCGCGCGAAAATCCCCACCATTCCAGACACCCCCACTGAATAAAGATAACCCGACCAACCAGTTTTTCCCACTGTTTTAAAAATCGGCCTAGGCGGCCGCCTAGGCGCTAGGCCGTGCCCGGGCACCTCCGATTTGCACAAATTTGCAGAAAAATCGGCAGCAGCGGCCCTAGGCGGGCTTGACTGTCTCGGCGGCATCTATGCTGGCATAAGCGGACCTAGGCGCTCCTAGGCGGGCTCGGCGGCAATTTTTTATTTTTATTTTTAAATACTAATTACATTATTTTCTTCTCATGTTTTCTTTAATATGTTAATATTATTATTTGAACTTTGGTGTGTGAATTTATTATAAGTTGAAATAGTTTTATTTTGTAGGTAGTTAAAATAAATAAAAAATAAGGTATTTAATATTGATTTTTGGGCGCCGCCAGGCCCCGCCTAGGTGCGCTAGGCGCTGGTCAAACGCCTAACGGGCGCCTAACGACTATTAGAACACTGGTTTTTCCTTTTCAACTTCCCTATCATGAAAACCATGATCCATGCGGCCAACAACTCGACCAATGCTTTTAATGTGACACTCATGTAGAGGTTGAAGGGCAAGCCATAAAGTCCCAATGGGCTTCCATAATAGGCCATGTCGTTGCCAAACCACATAATCATCAACATTAGTAAACTCTTTAAAGCCCAATTTTTACTAACTAACATTTTCAACGCAGAAGAAAAGGTATTATTACTACTACTGTCTTCCGTTATTTTTTCGGTACTCCACTTCACACCGGGCAAAATGCTGCTGCATTTCGTGAAGTATGTAATAGTTCTGGGGAAATTTTTCTCTTGGAGATTCGTGGACGAAAACACACACTAGTAGCGAGTAAAAAACACACGGACAAGTCCTGTAGAAATAAATCAACCTCCAAGAGGACCCCCTCAGTAGAAAAGCTACGAGCGGGAAAGACATGAAGCCCAACGTGAAACACGAAAAACCCATTATCCCGATTTTGCCCCTTCACTTTTTCCCCACGAGCTCGCTCGCGAGAACGAACTCGCTCGTCCCTATCGTGGACCATCCGAATTCTCTCAGGAATCGAAATCCGGCGTACATCCAAATGTTTGTAGAAATTGCAGTCAAGCCCCCGGATACCGACATGATCAAGAAAGAGAGGATCAACGTGTTTTTGCTGCCCATGTTCAAGTCCTCCAGAGTGGCTAGCACGAGCCTGCCAACAAGGCAGCCCAACAAGAAGAATGAGGAGGGCAAGCACGCATGCCCATGACTCCAGGCGAGCAGCAGGGCACACCCGCGTGTGAGACCTGGCAACACTCGGGCACCAGTGCAAAGGCATGCTCTTCCGTGCACCAGCGCATACCAGCGAGCCCAGATGAGTCGTGCGTGCACCAGGTGACCCAGGTGACTCGCAACAACCCGACAGCAGCCCGACCATGGTCTGACAGCCTCAATGCGACGTGGTACGACCGATAACAGTTCGACGAGGACTAAGGGGATGTGAGATGCAAAATGCAAGACACTATCAAAGCATAATGCGGCACGATGGGATCCCGATCAACGAGCGACGTACCATCAAAGACGAGGACTGTGACGGGGCGTGTAGAACTTTACAAAATTGTTTGTGCACAGCCCCCTAGGCGGTGTATGTCTATATAGGGTCTGAGAAATTTTAAACGACATGCGTTGAACACTAACATCTAGATTCACTGTGCTTAGGGTCAATTCATAGATAGCCTGTGATTTGCATAAATTTGACCCAACAGATCACACCTCACCCTTTTATAGAGAGGTGTTACCTTGTTGCCCAAGCTGCCCAATTGAGGTGTCCCACTGCTTGAACTACACGATCGTACTGCCTAGGTGCCCAAACTACCCAATATTACTAGCTATGTGGTCTCATCCACGTGTTCTTATTTTTTTATATTCGTACTCATCTATTATTTGGTGTGTTCATACTAGCCTACCTCATTAGGTAGCATAATTGTGCTATTAGCTCGGTTTCCCTTGAACTAGGTCGTTCTGACCTTCAATGAATGAGAATGCCTTTTAGGTCTTATGTCGACCTGTTCGCTTCAATGTCGACTTTCCATCAGATTATCCGAGAGCCCTAAATCGACCTGTTGTTGAACTGTTTTATACTTAATGTTCATTACAAATCTGGTGGTTTTGCGACAGCTTTAGTCTTCTTACTGTTTGGCCAACCTGCCGGTCTACTCAAACCGGTCGAATGTTGTGACACGACCGAATATATACATGTATAGAATCCAATATCACCCCTATATATAATTGTCGAATGCGTTGAGTCTAAGTGGCTGGCTCGACTCATCCAAATCCTATATGGCAAAAACTATGCTTCGTAGCTAGGCTTGGATACAAATTAATTTTTATATAAATAATAATTAGGCTTGGATTGCATTTAATTTCTATATTATACACATTAAATCTGTTATTGATGTCTTTAATTTTTTGTTATACAATTAGTTACCATAAACTCTTTTACGTTTCCTTTTCCTATATTACTATATATTATATTTCATTTTTCTCATTTAATTTATACAATAATTATTATAAATGTGTCTTTTTCTTATTTTTTAATTTTTATAACTTTTTTGTTTGTATTTATTTTTTATACATGATATATCAAATTTATTAATTTTAACGATCTTCGATTTGACATCCATATTACATATATAAAATACAAAACAATGATATACATCCTTATAAATAAATTTTAAATTGATTTATCAAACTAAATTAAAAATAACAAAAATAAATAAATTATCTTATGAAGCAACAGAAATTGATTCATATTAATATATCATAAAATATTTATTTAATTACAAATAATATAAATAAACTAAGTATTTTTTCCCAAACTATAAATAAACTAAGTATGAATATAAAATAAATGTAAAAAGTACTTTAAAATTTATGTCTCAACTTAAATAAAAACTACAAAGAGATTGAATATTATAATTATATTAAAAATTAAGAAAAAAATGTTAATTATAATTTAAATAATAAAAATAGCTATAATATTTCATAAATATTAAAAATATTACATCCATACACATTATGTTTTAAATTATTGAATATTATAAAATTGAAAATTTAAAAATATAATAGGTGAGGGAAGAAAATTGTGTATATAAAATAATCAAACATGGAAAAAAAATTAATTTAACTTAAAATAAAATTATGGAATTTTATATAATATATATATATGTGTGTGTGTGTGCGCGTGTGTGATATTAAAAAAATATCATTTTAACAAATTGATTTTAAAATATAGGTATCATTTTATCATTATATTATATTAATATAAATTTCTTTACTTATTTCTTTTGATACAAATATTTTATTTGTAATTTAATGCACCCCTGTTGTTCACCGACGTTATATTAACAGCAAAATAAATTAATTATTCTATTTAATTTTGAAAAAATGAATATACCACAAATAAAATAAATAATATTTCATACAATTTTTTTTTGTTAATATTTAAAATGTTATTATATATTCTTTTTCTTTAGTATTAATAATTATAATTTTATTTCACAATAAGAATTTTATTTATTTTTCATTATTTGTTTCATAATTAATATTTCTTCAAACAAGTGAAGCTCACGGTCATTGTACTAGTCAACTAGTGTGTATCCCGTGCGCTGCACGGAGGGGTTTTTACTTAAAACTTTTTCTAAGACTTTATATTATACATAGTTATTTATGTTTAACATCTTATTATTATAAAAAAAAGAAATACTAAATATGAAAAATTATATATTATTTATTTGAATATAATGAGTGTCCCAACCAAACTAATAACATCCAACATATGATATATGATAAAATTAATTATATGATCGTCATACTTTTTGAAAAAATATACATATATTTCTAATAAACATGTAAGATCCGCATTTAAATTTGTATTTGGATATGGGATGAAAAATGAATATGTACAAATAAAAAAGTACCAAGGACCTACATAAAATGAGATTCTTTATAAACTTTAAAATATTTTGTAGTTAAGCAAATATTAACAAACAAAATCATCAATTAAGTTGAACTTATCGAATATAAAATATAATTTATGATATCATTGACCATATTTACCCGTTGTATTTAAAGTTATCATTGACCATATTTTTATGAATTAAGGTTTACAAAATATCTTTTTCAAAATAACAATTTTTTTTAATTTGAATTTGACTTTTTCATCCAACCGCCATTTTCCACAAGAATAAAAATAGTATTTTGGAAAATTTTAGACGTGAAAATCAAATAAAATTAATTTAATAGTAATCAATTAATTTAATATTATTCAAAATTGTTTAATTCGGTCAACCCGATCTTAGTGCACATTTAATTGAAACAATCGCTTACAAAAAAAAAGGTAATCGCTTACAAAAAAAGGAAGTGAAATCTATCTATATAATATAAATCGGATTTGGAAAAAAAAAGGAAATTAAATTTCATAATTAATTAATTTAAATTGATGTTATCCGATTTATATCAACTCCCTTCCAAAAAAAAAAGAAAATATCCGATTCCTACCAAATCGATTAAAAAAAAAGGATTATGATATACGTCCAAATAAATTACAATTGAAATGTAGGCGGGATTATGAAAAAAAAATAAAAAAAACTTTACCGAATGTTTGAAAAAAAAAATCGGATTAAAAAAAATTAAAAGGAAAAAATTCAAAACGTGAAATTAAAATTAAAAACGTGAATTAAAATTAAAAAAATTAAAAATACAAAATTTACCAAATCTCAACCCATCAAAAAAAAAGGAAAATCGAGTGAAATAAAACGTGAAAAAAAAAGGAAAAGCGAGTGAATTAAAAATGTACCAAATCGGATTTTAAAAAAATGGTAACAAATCTCATCTCATCCTAAAGAAAAGGAATTATAAGAAATTTAACAAAAAAAATAACCAAATCTTATCCTAAAATAAAACAATCCGATTTCCATAAATCACATCCAAAATCAAATTAAGTTAGGCGGGATAAATGAAAAAAATTCAAAAAGAGTTTCCAAAACAGGTAATTTTCGAAAAATTTGAGAGGGAAAAAATGATGTTTAAGCGGGAAATGAAATATTTATTCAAACATTTATTCAAACATTTTTCCTTCTCCGTATTATATAGTAATAGATATACATATGTAAATGAAACCAAGTAGCTGGCTCAATTCAAAATTCAACAATCATTTTACTGATTATATCATACAACACATAGATTAAGTTGAATGATGATACAACAAGTGTTTTAACCTCGAGCACATCTCCTTAATTATTGCCCACATTACATTAAAAACAAATTTGCAAAAATCATACAGTACAAGTACTTTTTAATAAATTCCACAAATAATAAAAGTTGACCTCAACGTACGTACTCATCCTCTTATTCCTCCATCGTATCACACAATGTCCTCCCTTCAGTTTTAGGCAGCAAGACGACAAACAATACGGTCAACGATAAGGTCAACCCAAACACGGCATAGCACAAGAGCCCATTTACCATTCTTCCAACCGCCACAAGCATTGGGCCCAAAAACCCACCTAGCAAGCCCGCCACCCTCACCATCGACACTCTCGAGTTCCTAACGCACGTCGGGAACAATTCCGACAAGTAGATCATGAATACATCAAACGCCATACACATGCTAAAAAAATACACCACTTCCAACCCTATCCAAATCCTGTTCAACCGTGCGAAAATCCCAACCAATCCACACGCCCCACTAAATAAAGATAACCCGACCAACCAATTTTTCTCGACCAACCAATTTTTCCTTCTCAACTTCCCTATCATGAAAACCATGATCCACGCGGCCAACAACTCGACCAATGCATTTAACGTGACACTTATGTAGAGGTTGAACGGCAAGCCATCGAGGCCCAATGGGCTTCCATAATAGGCCATGCCATTGCCAAACCCCACAATCATCAACGCTAGTAAACGCTTTATGGCCCAATTTTTACTAACTAACATCTTCAATGCAGAAGAAAATGTATTATTACTACTACTACTACTTTCTTCCATTACTTTTCCCGTACTCCACTCCACACCTGGCGAAATGCTGCCGCAGCAGTATTTCGTCAAGTGTGTAATAGTTTTGGTAAATTCTTCTCTTCTTCCCTTGACGAAAAGCCATCTAGGAGATTCGCACGCAAAAACACACACTGGCAAAGAGTAAAAAACGCACGGACAAGTCGTGTAGAAATAAATCAACCTCTAAGAGGACCCCCTCAGTAGAAATGCTACGAGGGAGAGGGACATGAAGCCCAACGTGAAACACGAAAAACTCATTATCCCGATTTTGCCCCTCCACTTTTTCCCCACGAGCTCGCTCACGAGGACGAACGCACTCGTCCCTATCGTGGATCGTCCGAACCCGCTCATGAATCGAAATCCGGCGTACATCCAAATGTTTGTGAAAATTGCAGTCAGGCCCCCGGATACCAACATGATCAAGGAAGAGAGGATCAACGTGTTTTTGCGGCCCATGTTCGAGTCTGCCAGAGTGGCGAGCACGAGCCCGCCAACAAGGCAGCCCAACAGAAAAGAAGACGAGGGCAAGCCTCTGATGAAGGTGCTAGCTCATTCAGGGGCGGATCTAGGGAAAAAATTTGGGAAGGGCTAAAACAGTTGTTGGAATTGGATTGTGTTTGTTCTATCTCGTGAAAGTTTGATCTTATATTATTTATATATTTAAATGAGCCAAGCTAGAACGATTATTCAAACTTTCTTATTAAACAAATCGAGTAGATTGAAGCTCACGCAAGCCGAGTTTGAGCTCATATTTTGTCATCTATAAAATAATCGAGCTAATCCGACTCATTTGTTAAATTATCACAAGCTTAAACATAAGGTATTCAACTTGACTCAGAACGAATAACATTTCGAGGGGAACTATATGATATTTAATCTCTATCTCTACTATTTCAAAATAGAAAAAAAAGAACATCTTTCTCTCTCTTCTCTCGCCCAAATCAACTCGCCGTAAACCTAGACTTCGCCGCCGGCTTCTAAAGCCTCTCTCGGCGTCCATCCCGGTTGCCGGTAGACTGCCCACCGTCGTGCTACCAGTGCCGCCGCGGTGATACTCCCTTCTTTCTCTCTCTGGCCGTGGGGCGAAGATGGCGATTCCCGACAGATTTAGTCGATTCCGTCGATCTGTTTGGGAAGACCGCCGGAGCTCTAGGGCGGAGAGACTTGGAGGAGTGTGGCCAGTGGCTTGTAGCGGCTCGTCGTCTGCGTCGCCCCTGTTCAAGCTCCCCTTTCTCTAGCCATTGTTGACGGGCTCGGCGTCAGCTGTTCGCCGGCGGTTCGGGGCGGCGGGTGTGCTGTGGTTCGTCACTGGAGGTTGGATGAGGAGGTCGGATTCGAGCGTTGGTCGGAGCGATTTTCTTTCCTGGCTGGAAGGTCCACCCGATTGCGGGTCTTCGGTTTTCGCCGGAGCCTGGTCTCCGGTATCTCGGCTTAGCTGGGGTGTTGGGTCGGGTTCATCCTTGCGGGCTGGGTGGATGGGTGGTCGTTTGGGGCTGGGTTTGGTCCTTTGGGCGGAGTCGGCGCGGCTGAGCTCGGTTATCTGTCATCCCCTTCCTCCTCCTTCTCGATTTTGAGTCTGTGGGAGGTCGCCTGTCTCCAGATTTGGCTAGTGGTGTTAGGCAAATCTTGGAAGGCTGTGGATTGGCTAGTGGTGTTAGCCGATTGGGGGACGATTTTGATTTCTTGCGTATGGTGTGCGGGTTAGTTCTTTGGTTTGTACTGAAGTTTGGCACTTCGCCTTGCTAGGCCTTCTGCAGTGGTGGGCGTCGTTTCGAAGCTTCGGAGCTATCCATGGATCTGGCTATGTCTGCTGTCTTTTCCGGATGTTTCTGCGGAGGGAGGCTGCGTGTTCTTTCGTTTTTGTAGTTCGTGTTAGTTGTTCTGAGTAGTTTGTTATTTTGCTGTTGTTTAGTGTTTTTGGTTTGGGCCGTTGGCCTCTGTGAACCGGAGTGTCAACTTGATTTCCCTGTTGGGGCCAGACACTCAGGTATTACCCTGTTGGGGTCTTTGTGTTATTTTTTTAGTGCTTTGTATTGTGTTAGTATTTAGTGTGTTGCCGAGTATTCTAGCTTTGCTAGTTTTCGGATCTAGGCGGTCTTAGGATCTGTCCTCCCAGTTTTCTCAGTCGTCGGTTGTATTATTCAGCTAGTGGCTGTAATTTAGCACATTTGTGCTCTCTTTTATAAAACCTCTATCGTTTCGGCCAAAAAAAAAAAAATCTCTATCTCTCTCTCACACACACATATATAGGCGTAAAATTGCATATCAAAATAGATAAAATAATTAATAAGTTGCACTACAAAAAACATAACTTTTTACTTTTGGTAGTTTAAATGCTCAACATTGTTGACACTCACGAACCTCATTGATGATTTGCTCGATATTAACATAAATGCTATAATTGGAAGGTTGCCTAATTGTTAGACAGGTGTATTTTCCTGTGAAAAATGCATTATTATACTATGAAATGTCATACTTTTATTTGTATTGCGCTATAAAATATAACATTTAAGTATGAAGTATAAATATATTTTTTGGAAGAGTGTGGTTGTCTAACTATTAATTAAGTAGCCACGAGAAGGCCTAATGTGGTATTAATAGTTCTAGCAGTTCTCTTTCGAATCATTGAAATGCATATGTTGCATGTTCTTCTTTTTCAAATTTACTCTTTAATTTTTTAATTGTACGTAAGATCAAACAAAATATTATAAATAATGTTGAAAGTGTACTTAAAAAAATTTGATGTAGTTAAAACTAAATTGTAAATAGAACTATACAATAATTTATAATAGTTATAGAAATTCATATAAATTGGATATTTTTTTATATATATTTAATCAACACACACTTATATATATATAGAGAGAGAGAGAGAGAAAGGATCATATGAGAATGACTCTTAATGCGAGAAAATAAGAATGATTCTGGATCATTGGATCGATCAAACCAATGAACACGATCAAGTCAAAACTTAAAAAATTACAGTCAAATATGAGTGGCATTTTCGCAAATAATTGCACACAATATGGTCAATTATAAAAATTATACCACTAAATGGGGATAAATCAGGTATTATACACTAAAAGTGGACCCCACCACTAACACCACTAACCTATCTCTCTCTCTCTCACATAAACACACACAGCACACACAAAACACCATACCCGACACACACACACACACACAATCTGGATGGAGCCCCGCCGTCAACCCACCGCCGTCGTCGGACATCAACAGCGCTGCCGCCGCAAGCCTCGCCGGACTCATCGCCTTCGACACCAGCCCGACGTCGTCGATGTGGAAAGCTTTCAGATTCCGATGCACCAAGTGACCTGTGTGGTCGACCCCGACCGGCGACTGTGTGGTCGTCCTCGCCCAACCGCCGTCTATCGCCGCCTGCCGCCATGACTCCACCGCGTCGCCGTCGTCGTGCATATATTCTCAATCGCTGACCTTGATGCTCAGATCCGACGGCGAGAGGAAGGTCGCCACCTCCGGCTACACCAGCCGGCGATCCTTCAGCGCGTTTATCACAGCTCCCGCAGCCGCGTCACCCCCGCCGTCCTTTCCCGTACCCGCACAAAGGCGGCGACGATGTGTGAGAATAAAACTGTTGATTTTCGTTTTTTTTTCCTTTTGCGCAGATGGAGTCGTCGCGCCCTAGCGGCGGGCCGTGGCGGCTTCAGGTATTGGGCGATGAAGACGGCGGCGGTGAGCATATCGACGTTGACTTTCGGTGGCTGAGCTCCGGCGAAGTTGTATTGGGGTGGTCTGAAATTGCTTTTAGGAATTGTGGGGTTTTCATTTGAAAATTTGATATATTGTAGGGGCTCAAATGCAATTTAATTAAGTTTCTTTTTATTTCAATCTAACACATGAGGCCAATCTGTAATATAATAAAAGTTTAATTAATGCACAATAAAATTACATAAATGCACATTATTATGTGAGAATGTACACATTAAAAAATAAAGACATGTTTTTACATAAATGCACATTACTATGTAAAAGTTCACAAATATGTTATAATTTATTTTATTACTTTTATGTTATTTCGGATTGACAACAAAAAATTGAATTCGGTTGGTTTTGATATTTGTTGTGCAATCCAAAAGTCGCGATAAAGTGCATCGCTTCATTTTATAAAATGCAATGTCATGTTTTATAAAGTGCATTATGTTAATATATAAAGTGACATACTGTAATTTTGTTACATTAGAATGTTTGTGTTTTTTGTGCACATATGATTTGATAGAGACAGATGATTTGATAGATGGTAAAGTATTACGTAGATTTTTTTTTATTTAATGTTGTGTGGTATTTCGACGGAGATATTGGCATTATTTGTATGACATGGTGATAGAGTGCACGATTTGTTTATCCGGTGCAACGTGTTGTGTTATAAAGTGCATCACGATAATATATAAAGTGCAATACTTATATGGCCACGTATAAATTATGTGTTTTTTAAAACTAGATTTATTATATAAAATTGTACATCGAACATGATTGAGCCAAATGTTGTCGGTATGTATTGTGCATATTGAGCCAAACGAATTTTTTTCTAAACAAATTGAAGCTGAACATGATTAATTGGTTTATTCGTTTTGGCTAACCGAATTATCCTAAATAATCAAAAGATTTTTTTAATTTATATTACAAATATATTTAATACGATATAATTTGTTACTTTTATATTATTTCTGATTAACCAAAAAAATAATAATTGAAGTCGATTGATTTTGATATACGTTGTACAATCCGATAGTCACGATAAAGTGGAACGCTATGTTTTATAAAGTGCAACGTTGTATTTTATAAAGTGCAACGTGGTATTTTATAAAGTGCATGATGTTGATATATAAAGTAACATTTAATTTTGTTACATTATAATGCTTATGTTTTTTTTTTTTTTTTATTTTAATTTTGCTACATTATAATGCTTATGCTTTTTTTTGTTTTTTTATGTGGACATATGATTTGATAAATATTAATGTAGATTCGTTTTTTTTAATGTTGTGTGGTATTTTGGCGAGCTATTGACGTTAATTGTAGAGCCTGGTGATAGAGTGCAACGATTTGTATTATTTAGTGCAACACTTTGTGTTATAAAGTGCATCGCACTAATATATAAAGTGCACTACTTATATAACCATGTATAAATTATGTATTTTTTTAAAATTAAATTTATTAGATAAAATTGTACATCAAATTTATATAAATAATTGAAATAATTTATTATTATAAAAGTGTACTTATTATTTAACTAGCAATATTTTTTGTTAAATTACACAATATTTGTGCAATTTAACTAGCAATAGTGTGCACTTATTATATTTTTTTGTTAATTTATAGGTTTTAACATTAATTATATGGAGTTATATTTAAATTCTTTAAAATTGCAAATAGGTCCCTCTAATACATCTAATTCTCATTAGACAAGCCCTAGCCCCCAATTACTTTCAACACCTTCAACCACCACACCCCCGCCATCCCTCCACCCACCACACCGCCAGCAGCAGCGGCCGTGTCGGACAATCCATCGCCGGAGGCGCTCGATGCCGGAGCCGATTTGTATCTGTTAAAGTTGAACGGCGGATCAAGGTGCCACCGGAGCTTTCCGCCCAACCCGACCATCGTCTGCCGATAATATCCAACTCGCGCGGCGACGGCGGCTAGTGGTACAGAAGGGAATAGCGATGCATCGGCTCTCCGATATCCTTTCTCGTAGCAGCAACCGACGGACATTAGTGACGGGCGGCGTGACCTGCCTCCGCGACGAAATTGGACAGAAACGTGGGTGATGTGCGGCGGGCCTTCGGTCGACGGCGACTTGGGAATTGCTATGGCGCTGGAGCTCGGTGACGGCAGATCCGAGCAATATTCATCTCTGCATCGCCGTGAGGAGTGTGTGTGTGTGTGTGAGAGAGAGAGAGAGAGAGGGAGAGATAGAGAGAAAGGGGGTAGGTTACGGGTGGCCTGGGAGGGTGAAATGTTTTAATTGGGGTGGGGCCCACTAATGTGGTGGATATTAATTTGGTGTGTGATTAAATGTCCATATTAACCTTAATGAAGGTATAAATTTGACTTTTTATTAGCCATTAGATCGGATGATCCAATGACTACGATTTATTCTCATTTCTCGCATTAAGAGTCATTCTCACCGGAGCGTGACCCTATATATATATATATATATATAGAATTAGGATCATATGAGAATGGTAGATAGTGAAAGAAATAAGAATGAATCTACACTATGGGATCCATCAAGTCAATGACCATGATGAAGTCAAACTTTAATAAATAGTGGTTAATCATTAATGGCAATCTGGTAATTATTTGAACTATTGTGGTCAAATATATCCATTTGACCAATAATTAGGGATAAGTTGGTAATTACCCCTATACCATATGGGACCCACACTTTCTTTTTTATTCACGTCTTCTTCACAATCAGATACAATTTCACACACACACACACTCCAGCAGGCCCGGCGGAAATCAGCCTACAAACCACCGGTCACCGCCGCCGTCATCGGACTGCCGGTGCCGCTACCATCCCGTTGAGCGCCGTCAGCCATCCCCAACAGCGCCCTCCCTCTCCCGTCCTCCCGAACACACCGGAATCAACCCGCAACAAACCACGGGTCCCTGCCATTTGCCTAATCTCTCCTGTCGTTGCCGATTTGTCGCCGCCGCTAACATACCGTCGAGCACTGCCACCACTGTCACCTGCCCCTGTCTCAAACCTGTTGGAGTATACTGTAAAGCAAACTTTTACGTGAGCTTTTGGATTGTATTATTCGATTTCCCATTTGACTGAAATGAATGTTTTTCACATTGTTGCATTCTTTATGATTGCTTGTATGCTAAATGTCCAATTATCTTATATTGTAGACAATGTGGTGTGTTAGTAGTCACACAGAAGATTGCATTGTCGGTTCCTTATAAGATATAAATGGTATTCACAACTGAGATAGTTATGGACATGACTATCGGTGTAGGTCGTAGTATAAACTGGATGTAGCTTGTCTTGGTTATTGGTTTATACTAGTGTGCTGCGTCGCATTGAAAGGATCACAGTTGAGACGTGTTCTTCTGTTCTGACTATCATGAAGAACCTAGGTCTCGGTGACTCTACTAATTCTTAACCCTAACTGTGGTAATTAGATATATGGGATATTTGTTTGTTACTTTGACTTACCATGGGTGAGGACCAAGTATTGGTTCAATAGCTCCGTATCTTGGGTAACGACACTATCTGCATGATATCTATTTATTGGCATTAGGGCACCGTGTCCTGGACATCCAGGTTGGTGACATCCCCTTAAGGAACTCATAAGGATTATCGTATAAACCCTGCAGGTGGATTTAATCCGTACGATAATAAGGTTGAGTGGTACTACTTAAGGATTAAAAGATATTAATTAATTAAAGCAGTCAGAAGCTTTAATAATTAATGGACGTGCGATATCTTAAACACGGGGAATTATATCGAGTCTAATAGAAGCCCTGATTCATTTCGGGATAGGACGGGAGTACAATATTAATTCTCTAGTGGAATGAATTAATATTTACGGGCCAAATTGTGTTCTGGGCTGAACATAAGAATTTGGGCCGGTAGGGAGCCCAAACCCTATACCTTCTAAGAGATCCCTAGGCTGGCCCAAGGACCTCTATAAAAGGAGGGGTTGCACGTCTTCAACCCTAACACACATCACAAAACGTGACATTCTTCAGCCACCATCGTGGAGAAGTGACGTGAAGGGTTCAGATAAGACGAGATACAATCCGCTCTTTTCAACCGTTTGGTAGATCGTCGTCCATCCGGCGTCCAAACGTGGTCGGGACACAGACTAGAAGATCGCTCAGATCGAATCAAAGCCTCGAAGAAAGGTAAACTTTCTGTTCGTCCTTTAGGAGCATGCTTAGGGTTTAATCGAAATCATGTATGTACATGTTTGGTACCCGATATCGATCCGTGGGAAGGACCGCCTCGTCGGCGTGTTCCAGCAATTGGTATCAGAGCCTCGGTTTCGTAGATTATCGGCTCTGCCTGGAACATGTAGTTGATTTCGTTTATTCATTTATTCGTTTTCAGTCATGTTCATGGTGTGGATGATGTTTTATCTCGTTTATGCTTCTGGATGGTGTCTATCGCAGCCCTTGTGTATTGTTGTAATCGTTTTTCCCACCAGATAATAAGTGTGGGTAGTATAGGCGATTTTGTAGACTGTAGTAGGGCTGTTCTTGTTCGATTTTTGCTGTACTTTTGTGTTCAAAGTCGAACGTGATGAAGATGATCATCCTGGAGGCGGCGGCTAGGGTTTCAGCATTCACCGGGGCCGGTTTCGTCGGCGAAAACCGTTTTGGCCATAACTTTTGCTACAGGTGTCCGATTTCAGCCCATAATACCAATTCGGAAACGGGAGAACGAGATCTACAAGAGTTACGGCTATGCCGTAACAGCCTGTGGCGGGGTCAAATTCAATCGTCGAGATGAAGTTTTTGGCTCTTTTCCGTCGGTGGGTGCCGATACCGCGTGAATGGCCCGATTTGCGCGAGATGCCGATTCGAGTGTTCATCCACGACCTTGCTGAATCATGTAATAGCTTTGATAGGCTGTTAGTGGTTGGTTTTAAGGGGCTGCGATAGATGTGTTTTAATTTTCGCATTTTATCGCTTTGTGGATGCCGATTTAATTTTTGCTAGAGCATGTTTATTTGTTTATGTGTCTAGCTGATTTAAATCGCTTTTCTGGCATGCTAGAAATCATGTAAATAGGTGCTTTTAATTCTTAGAAAGCTGTTATTGCTTTTATTTGAATTATAGGAGCATGCTAGGATTTATGTGATTTGCGTGTTAGGAGCATGCTAGGAATTTTATTATTTCTTGTTGCATGCTAATAAAACCTTCAAGTAAAAATGACTAAGTGAGTTTGATATGAATTTTAATTAATTCATTTGGCCTCCACAATTGGTCTTTAAGTAAGGTGTTTGTCGCTCGCGGGACCTTGGGAGTCTCCCCCTAACGGATGCGACATTCACGAGCTTACTAGATAAGACTTCTATTCAAACGACTTAATCTTTAGGTGAAGTGAGTGGCATACGCGTGACCCATGGGGTCTCCTCCCTAACGGATAGTGTCATTCATAAGTTCACCGGTAAAGATTATTTCGAGATAACCTTAGAAAATTATTTACAAGCGATGTGTCTTCCCCATCGGTAAGTTCATCAATTGTGAATGATTGTTCTTGGGGTTAAATTGTGGTCATCACTTAGATGTGAATTTTAATATAACTCCCCAACGGAGTCCCTGTTTTAATTCACATGGCCAGTGTTAAAAATTTTCGACTATTAATTTCATTCGCCATAAGGACAGGTTGGCGTGCAATTGAGATTAATGACCGGGTGTCTGCTTAATGGACATATGTGTAAACGTCCACCCTAACGTGGCTTGCATGTGTGTTTGTTTAAGTTGTCGAAGGATGCGTTAAAATAATGGTTTTGAAGGTTTCCATATTTTATGCTTCAAATTTATGTGAATTATTGCTTACGTGTTTGCAATTATTTATTTCAGTTATTCATCATGTCATTCAATCCGCTTATGACCATTCTCAATCAAAACAAGCTTACTGGTCCAAATTATTTGGACTGGAAGAGGAATCTGGATATTGTCCTTGTTGCTGATGAGTACAAATTTGTGCTCACCACACCTGCTCCTGCTCCTTTGGGCGCTGCTCCTACCGAAGAGGAAAGGGAGGCTCATCGGAAGTGGCATAAGGCTGATGAGATGGCTCGTTGCTACATCTTGGCATCTATGTCAAATGTTTTGCAACAGCAGCATCACACCATGCCTACTGCTGCTGACATGATGTTGAGCCTCAAGGAACTCTTTGGTGAGCAAGATAGGGCTGCTCGTTTTGAGGCTATGCGGAAGATTATGTCTTCTGTCATGCCGGAGGGAGCTTCTGTGCGAGAGCATGTTCTCAAGATGATGGAATATCTGAATGAGATAGATGTGCTCGGAGGAAATATCGATGGCGATGCCAAGATCGATATCATCCTGCACTCGCTCCCGAAGTCCTATGAGAACTTCCGCCTGAATGCAATCATGAACAAGAAGGGCTATACTCTAGCCGAGCTTCTTGTGGACTTGGTTGCAGCGGAGGGTCTTATGGGCAGGGGACCACAGGCTCATGTTTCTGTACAAGCTGGACCTTCTTCGTCGAAAGGCGGGAAGAAGAAAAAGCAAGTGCAGAAAAAGAGTGGTGGGAGCAGTGGGAGCAAAGCTGTAGCGCCTTCTGGTGGCGTGCAGAAGCCGAAAGGCAAGTGCTTCAAGTGCAACAAGACAGGACATTGGAAGTCAGATTGTCCCCTCAAGGACACTCCTGGTATGTCTCTTGCTTTAGTTGTCGAAACATGTTTTGCGGCTTGTTCTACCAGTTCTTGGGTAGTAGATACAGGAGCCACTGATCATGTTTGTTACACTTTGCAGGGGTTTCTGCAAAGAAGGCAGCTCAGTGAGGGCGAGATTACCATCAGCTTGGGCAACGCTGCACGAGTGGCGGTGGTTGCAGTGGGAGATGTGCACTTATCTTTTTCTGATTCTGTTTTAGTATTAAAGAACGTTTTGTACGTGCCGAGTTTTCGGAAGAATTTAATTTCGGTTTCGAAGCTGTTTTTGGATGGATATTCAGTTATTTTTAATGACAATGCTGTTATTATGAGAAATAACTCTTTTATCTG